AGTTCTCAGATATAATCTAAAATATATTAATTTGTGAAGAAAGTAAAATAAATAAATAAAATAGTTTGAGATAAAACAATATCGAACCCCTCAAACCCCTTACTTCTGACTGAAACTCTTGTTACGTATAACTTTTTGTTTTTATTTTACACCCATGCTGTGCTGAATATTCAGACTGATAAATAATGCATGATTATAGTATTAATTCATGTTATCAGATATCATTTAAATCTCATCTGTTTGATGGCCTGTTGAAGCTGCTATATTATATCCAGTATGAATCTATTAAGGTTTTATGGCAGCGATGACAAATGCCTTAGGAGTCAATTCCCAATGGACTTCCACACATCTGTTGCAGTTCACTTAGCTTGCAGTAGGAGGTGTTTTTTAGTGCAATGTCTGGGCAGTGGCCTTGAATTTAACCAGAAAGCTTCAAAGAAACCAATAAATGTGCAACTTCATCATTCCAGTTGCGGTCACAGTCCCTCCTAACATATTAAAATTGTAATCTCAATTTTCCAACTGAGGTTTTGATTACACTCTGCAAACGACTGAGAAATCAATAAAAATGTGCCCCTTATGGCCATTTTCCCAGAACTATGAGACTTGTGTGACGTAAGCAGTCCATGACTCAAGGTTAAAGCCATACCCTTCAAGCTATAGAAGTTCAAAACATTTGAAATAGTCTGAATGCTTTGCTCTGAAAGATTCCTTTTAAGTTCCCTTTAATCAAAAGTGATCACATATAACTATTTTATGAGGCTGACCATGTCTGATGTAAATTTAACAAGTGCACTGATTATTTGTGAATACATTCTGTAAACTGTGTGCTATAAATCACATCAGATGTTCATAAAGCACCTTCAATATAAGCTTTTTAGGTCTAGAAGGAAAAAAAAGAAGGTCCATTTGATTATTTTGTTGTTCTACTTTAAACTTTCACTAGATGTAACTTTGGAACTGCATGTCAACTAATGCTCATTAGAGTATAAGTTGCCAGCAAGCATTTTATATCTGTGTGATTAAATGATGTCTAATAGACGTCCAGAAATATATTAGTCATCGAATAGACAGAATGAATGGCTACAAATGTGAAGCCTGTCTATTTGATTGTTAGTCTATTTTTCTTTTATTATTGTTAAACATCCAAAACGATCTCACAGGAATTTAGTTTTGATTTAGTGGCTAATTTGTATCAATCTGCTTGTTAAGTCGTTACACATGAAATACATAATCAGTTTTATTATTGTTATTTTTTTTTACTTGTTTCTTTTATTCTTGTTTATGTAAAGCACTTTGAATTGCCACTGTGTATGAAATGTGCTATATGAATAAACTTGCCTTGCCTTTCCTTGAAATACTGTTTTCGGGTCCAAGCCACTACTTATTTGAATTGAGAAAATATCCACTTTTTTGTATCTTTAGTTCTTTTTATATAGCACATTAAAGTGAATTTTATATAAAACCATAGTGTACACAGCAGTCTCTAGACTTGCTGCATCACAGACACCTATATTTTACTTTGTAAACGTTTATTATTACCATTTCTTGGGTCTCCCCATACAGTTTGATAGAGCACTTTGTGTGATGTCACACTTAACAAACAGATTTGTACGTTCTCATTTGTACAATTTAGTACGATTTGCTTCCCCCAATGCCAGTTGAGTTTAGGGGACCTACTTTTTAAAATCCTACATTTTCGTATAACTTAACTGAACGAATTAGACACTAAACTGACAAAACGTCAAATAGTTACAGTACGTTTCCTTGTGAGATCAGGCTGAGACATCTATTCAATTTTTACTGCAGACCAAATTTAGCCTTGTTTTAGACAAAATATTGTACAATTGTCTATGTTTAGACATCTATCAGATGACTTTTAAACAAAATTGGTTGCTGAGTTAAATTAAGTTTAGAGATAAATGAAATTGTGTGTAGCCTACTCAAAAGTGCTACAAAAACTACTACAAAAGTACTTATTATAATGTTTATTTGTCTACTAGCTGAAATCACTTATAGTCAACAATAGTACCATCTAAAAGGATTTATCAAAATAAAGTGTTACCAAATGGATTTCAATTAGAAGTGCATTACACAGTAAAAAAATGCTGGGTTCCACACAATTGATTTGAAGGAATTAAGGTAACTTTTTACAAATTTAAATGGATTGAACATAAAACAATAAAGTTGTCCCAATGAAATCTCAAGAATTGTAAAGAATAAAGGTAATTCTATTGTAGCCAACACAATTATTCATTCATTCGTTTTCTTTTCGGCTTAGTTCCTTTATTAATCTGGGGTCACCACAGCGGAATGAACCACCAACTTATCCAGCACATGTTTTATGCCGCGGATGCCCTTCCAGCTGCAACCCATCTCTGGGAAACATCCATACACACTCATACACTACGGACAATTTTAGCCTACGCAGTTCACCTGTACCGCATGTCTTCGGATGTGGGAGAAACCGGAGCACCCGGAAAACTCCAGACAAACTCCACACAGAAACTCCAACTGATCCTAGGCTTGAACTAGCGACCTTCTTGCTAAGAGGTGACAGCACCCCTCTGTTTTACAACTAGGTAAACATCAATCAACGAACGTCATAGACATCAGGTTTTTAAAGGCCTGGCCACTTCTCCTTTTTTCGTTTTCTTGAAATACTGACATGCATCTGGTAATGCCCGATTAGCAGGCTTATTCCTGAGCCACATTTAAAGGGATACTGCACCGCAAATTTGAACATCGTTGTATAACTATATACTCATGTTTTTCCAATTCTGTATGAATTTTCCTCAGTGGAACACAACAAACTATATGGCTCTGCCTCTGATATAATAATTTATAACAATGCACTAAGTTCTATCCCATTTTTCTATTTAAATAATTGAAAAATAAAACAAAGCAGTTGGATTACTGTCTAAAACAATTGAGTTTTTGCTTACTTAAATCTATATGTTTCACAGTCCCGTTTCGAGATTAGTTACATAATATTTCTGTGCTTAAAATAGCCTATAGCATATATTAATCTCACAGCGTTATATATATCCCACATTCCAGTATGTGTTATCACTAATCCTGGATGATTAAAATGATGACATCTATAAGAAATCCTTTTAAATTATGATTTTTCCTCCAAATTCTGTATTCTAGAATATGTATTTTAAATAAAGTGATAAAGTATCATCTATTTTTTTTATTTTGTAAAATGTATTTCCCTTATTTAAGCTTTTTTCATTTTGAAATAAGCAATTTGCTACTTTAATTTGAAATAATTGCACAAAAATCACAAATCAAAAACATTTGGAAAACAAAGCAATTCTGCCAATTTGGTTACCAGACTGTTGCCAGTTAGTACAATTGAGTTCAGAGAAATTTTAGAATGTCAAAAAAAAGAAAGCGATGTAAAATGTAAAGTTGTGGTGGTATCGTTTTTGTGTGCTGGTGTGAAAGCAAATTTAGTAGTCTTTATGTCTACTGTAAATCATAATAATGTATGGTTCTCATTCTTGGAGTGGACATTTAGTTTGATTAAATAAAATCTATAAATTAATTAATTAATTATTAAATAATTAAAATACAGATCAGGATTATTTGTCATTTGTAATGAGCTATTTGTAATAATCCTGTGGATAAGCAACTGAGCAACATGTTTAATACTGTCACAAAAAACTTTTAATAACTTTCTTTTTCCATAACACCAATGACAGATTACAGTCATGAAAATGAATTTACAGCTCAAGATACTTACGGGAATAAGAGGTGATTATATAAAATGTAGGGCTGTGTAACACATTCTTCAAAGTTATGCTTCATAAATCTTCCAAGATAAGAGACTTCCTTCTGAGATTTATGATTAATGAAATGCCTCCGTCATTAAGTCTACCGTTATTTTAATATGTTTTGCTACTACCGTCTCTTGGTGTTGTTCCTTTAGGACACAGAGGCTATAATGGACATAAAAGTTGTGGTCTGGTAGTTCTGATATTACTACATGACTTCACGACCACAGTGTCCTAACAACTTTTTAATGTATACCCACAGAGATACAAAATCCTTTATTTCCTCCTGGTGGTTACATGTTGTATAAACCTCACAGTTCTGTGGTTTGTGAGCCTCATTCATAAAATACAACCAGATGTTATGTGTAAATCGCACTCTTACATAAACTGTTGAATTAAGTGTGACAGTTTACATAAGATTATTTTAAATCAACATTTGAAGACTTTAATTTAGACTATTAAATCTTTTGTTGTTGTTGTTGTTGTTGTTGTCATTTAGTATTTTTATGTTGGTCATTGAAAAGTATAACTAACAAACTGACCGACTGACTGACTGACTGACTAAATAAATAAAAAAGCAAACCTGATAAAATTACTAAACCTGCCAATCTTTTGTAGTTTTCAGAAATTATATCAATTACATTGAATTTTAAAAAAACTTTATAATAAAAAAAGTGTTTATCTGTTTTTGCAGATGAACTCTTCATTTTAACAAATGGTCTTTAAAAGTGCAGTGGAGATAGAAAATTATAGACGTTTTTAATCTTCATTTGTGCTACAATAACTGCTGTTCCATTGATTGGATCACCATGTGTTGGTGAGTTTCAAAAATAATGAGTTTTTGGTTATTTTTAGGTCCTTTAAGTGATTTGGTTATTTTGTAAAACACTTTTCCACTATGGTAAAGCCACTAAAATAAAACTATAATACTTTCAAATTTCTTTAAGTCTTTATAAATTGTTTTCTAAATCAAACACTGTATTTGAACAATTTTGGCACCTTTAAAAATGTTTTTGTTTTGTATAGGAAATGCTTCATACATAGATTTTTGATCAATGCAATAAAAAACCTGAACTGTATGGCTTCAGTATCCTAAAGTCTTGTAGAAGTTTGTAAAATTGCAAAGTGTCCACATTGTAGAGTATATGCAGTTCCACTTTTGAAAGGAATCTCAGACTGAAACTGTGACAGAGTCAATAAATAATAGTGCTGCATGTTATTTTTATATGCATTTTAATGAGGGGGGAACATTTTTGAATTATAGTAATAAAGGGCTACAGAAGACATTATATTACCTTATATAACTGGCCATAAATAATGACATAAACACTGTCATAAATAATGGACATCTTTTCTAATGCTGTTTGGTCCTCTTATTTATTAATATTATGAAAGACAGACAGAAAGATGGATGGATGGATGGATGGATGGAGGCTTCTTCGATGAGTTTAAGAAGCAGAGAAAAGGAGATGAGACAAACAATCTTATAATGGTTGATTATTGCACAAAACACCATACTGACTGTTACACACAAAGCTAATTATGCTAAAAGTTAGCTAACACACCGAAACTTAGGAGTGAATGCAACAGACTGAATTTATTATAGCTTGCATGAGATGGCAAATATGAGCCAAGAGATATTAAGCATCTAATTACCATGCTCATCAGATTATATGCACAAATACACAATGAAAATCTCAATCTATTGTGTTCCTGAAATGTTCTTAGCTTGTACATAATCCGTTTATACCTGCACGAGTCGTTGATCATCCCAAGAGCTGCAAACACCACATATCACTCCACTGACAGTCATGCATATTTGAATACACTCATTCAGACTCATTTCCAGCCAAATGTGATACTCTTATGCTGAATAACAAATGGCTGTTTGTTTCCTTTTTATTAGGAGTAATGGAAGGGGCTCTAAAAATAAAGTCCTGCGGTCACAGCTGTGTTCGTTATTTTTTTAGCAATGTTAATTAGAGCAGGCCGTCACATTTTAAATTGCTGCTTTCGGATACAATCCAAACCACATATACTGTAGAGGGAGATTCTTAATGTTCAGCATATTGTTTATTACCTTGTTTCCCAGCAACGTATAAACAGCAACAAGATGCCCAAAGAGTAAAAAGCTCAAGAAAAGGCTGCTAAACGAATCAATATCAAAGTCGTTTGCTTTTAAGAGAGATCCAGCTCTACTAAAGTGTAAGGCTTTTAGGTGGAAGCAGGGGTCTTCTTAACAAGGCGTCTGCGCACCGGGGTAGCAGGTGCTGCACTTGCACTGGCTCTTTCCGTCTTTAGTTCATCCACAAAGGTCTCCAATGGTCCAAACTTCTCTGTCAGATCACCAAGATGAGCTTTCAGGGCATTAAACTCTTTGTACAAATCATCAAGCGCTTCGGTGAGAGGTTGAATCCTGGGGAGATGTAAAGGAGTAAAGGATCCTGTCATCATTTATGGTAACACTTTATTTTGATGGTCCATTTGAGTAGTAGACTGTCTGTTTAATATCTGCTGATACTGCTCCGTCAACAGATATTTTGTTTACTATTAGACAATTTGAAAGTTCATGTCAACTTACACTAACGCTAACCACGACCAAACAGTCTAATTACAATCCAATGAGAATTAGTTGATATGTTGATGCAATGTAACTTAAATTCAGCAAATGAACCATCAAAATAAAGCGTAACCTTATTTACGTATTCTAAACTAATCATTTTTGTCAGAGTTTCTATTTCGGATTTAATTCAGGATTCAAATTTTATTTTCAGAAAAACAGACTGTTTTATAACTGTTTTAACTTCATCTGGTCCTAGAAGTTCGAGACTCAGGTTCATTCTTGCTTTTCATAAATCCATGATACATGTTTGTGGGATGATGAAATTGTCTTTTCTATTGTAATATGTGACCTAGTTGAACCACAAAACTTAAGTTAACTTAAGTTGTATTTAAATATTGGTAAAAATTATAGATTTTTTGTTTATGGCAAAAATCATTGAAATAATAAGTAAATATCTTGTTCCATATAGATATTTAGTAAATATCCTTCTAAAAATATATTAAAAGTAATGTTTGGATTGTTAATATGCATTCAATATTTACCCTTTAACTACCCCACCAAGAAAAAACATGTTTGGATTGCATTTCTTAACTCCTAATGTTTGCTGGTTAACACTTAATTTTAAAATTTTTTTAACACATCCCATAATTTCTTGAATATTAACCTCTACAAAATGGTCTGTCTGTTTATGGTAAAAGAATTAATACATATACTTTGAAAAATCTGAAAATATCAAGCCAAAAACCAATTTATTAAAAAAAAAAATCAAAATAAAACATTTTTGAATATTGAATCATCGTTTCACTTCATCGTTATACTTCATTTTTTGAAGTATACCATAACATATTTTATATTCTCATTTAACATGTCTTGTTGTTGTTGTTGTTGTTGTTTTACAGTAAAACCAAATCAAGTGTGGTGCAACAGGATTATGTTGGTTTGATTTTTAAATTTTTTTATTATTTTTATTTTTTTTGTAAATCAACAGTTCTGTGTGCACTATTATTTAAATCGTCATCTTTTGAATTAACAGTCATTATATAAAACAGTCAAAACATGGTCAACCATTTGGTAGAGGGGCAGTCAATAAAAGATGATTTCCTAATATATATATGAGCAATATGACACTCGTAGCAGTGCGATATGGCTGTATATCGGCACTGGTGGGAGGCGTGCGTTAGCACGAGGCCTCAGGCCGAGTGCCTTTGAGCCCCAACAGTGCCGATATACAGCCATATTGCACTGCTACGAGTGTCATATTGCGTTTATACAACAGTTTGACAGCATAATTGTGTATATAAAAACAAAATCAAACATGGAGAGCCTCACAAACCCTCTTTGTATGAGGAACTACTTTCTTCCGCGTTGGATTCAAATCATAAGCTGACAGTTAAACAGCTAAGCAAGCATCTTTTAAACTTTAGATCTGTAGTGTCTGCTTTTTGCTGGCTGTATGTGGGCGGAGTGATACACAAAGGGTAAAGAGGCTGTACGGGTGCTGATATTACTTAAATATATCACGGCTATCAGCCAATCAGATTCAAGAACACACACAAACACACACACACAAACACACACACACACACACACACACACACATATATATATATATATATATATATATATATATTTTTTTTTTTTTTTTATTATTATTATATTTCAGCCAAATTTTGTCCTATCCCATACATAAAAAAAAACCTTTTACTGATTTTGTGGTCCAGAGTCACATATTTCAGCAATCAAGTAACTGGTATTTTCTATTTGCTGTTTAGACTCAGGACTAAACACTGAGGTAAACACTTCAGATTACTGCAAAGTAATCAACTTGTTTCATCTAATCAGTCCAACAGCTTTCCAAATGGTCAAAAATGTTGACTGTTAAATCTAAAAAGATCTGTTTTAAAAGTATCAAAATATAGGCAGTTTTATGGGGGCCCTGTGGCCCAATACAGATGAAAGCCTAAAAAACGCCCCTAGCAGTCACTGGTTGGCAAATAGCTTTGAGGAATATGAACACAACTTGCTTCCAGACCATAAGGAGCCAGGAAGTTCCCCATTAAGCACATAAACTATTTTGCAAAGTTTCCAGCATAATGAAATGTTCTGCTCTGAAAAGAGCCATCCAGATTCTGACATAGCTGCAGATACCAAAATAACCATGCTGTGTTTCTGCTCTTTTTTTTCCTCTTTGGAAAAATGCCTGAATCTAAGAGTCTGATGTAACATATTGAACTTTGTGAAAGTGTACCTAGAGTAGTCGGGCAGCAGGGACTGGTGGTCGTTCTGCAGGAGTCCTTTGACCTGGCTCAGGATGTCAAACCTCCAGTCATCAAGCACTTGAGTCAGATTTGCAACTCCTCGCATGCTTACTTTCTCAGCTAAGGATCCAAATATTCACAATTAATCACATTTTTAAGGTCCGTTTGGACACAGTTTCAGTGGTAATACTCTACAGTAAGCATCCATTAGTATTCACTAAACAAACAGTGAACAATACATTCATCACAGTATTTCATCTTTGCTAACATTAGTTAATGGAATTGAAGTTGTTAATCATTAGTTCTTCTTAACTTCTCACTGTGAATTAACTAATGTTAATTAACACAACTTTAGATTTTAATAATGCATTAGTAATGTTAAACTGTGGTTAACAAATGCTGTACAAGTTTTCTTCATTTTTAGATCATTTTATTAAATACATTAACTATCATTAACTAATGAAACCTTATTCTAAAGAGTGGCCATTTTATTAGCATATCAGCATGCACATATACATTTATAACTCATCAATTGTTTATTTTAAAGCAAAAATACATCCACTCACAGCCATCACGGTAGTTCCACTCCTCTTTTGCAGGGCGTCTCCTTTGACCACAGACTATGACCACAATCATGGTCAGGTTCAACAAGCTCACCCTGAAACTCATCCTGGTTCTTTACGTTTCCTATAAGAGTTTAACATGTCCGGAAAAGTCAGTTTCCTCCAGTAAAAATGTTTAAATAATGGCTCAGGTCTTTTCTTCCGTTCCACTAAGCAGATGATGTATATTTAGTGAGACATAAACCAATCCCTGTGCTGCTGAACTCACTATTACTCCTAATCCTAAAAATTATATTTCTGCATAAACACTATTTGGTTTCAGGGCACAATCTGTGTCGACTTACCTGATAGCTGTGCATGAAAACATTGTTCATGATTGTGAGCTACTTTTTTTTTTTTTTTAAACAATATGCATGCAAATACAATACACATAAAAATAATAAATATATTTATGTGAAGTTAATATGAATACATAGAATGCATTTAACAGACATTTGTCATTTGTTATTGCTACAAACAGCTAAAGTAAATTAGATTCTTGGAATAATATAAATGTGTGGGTCTAAATACCCATGCTTACATACCAGTCAGAGAGTTTGGGAAGATGTGTGCTCTATGTGGTGCCCCTGGAGTTCTGTGTCTTGGTAGTTGCACCAGTCTGTCCCAAAGACTGAAGAACACTCCCTCTGGTTTTAAAACATTCCCCCATCACACACATCTTTTCCAAACCCTTGGCTTGTACAAACAAGCCACCGAGACTTAAATGTCAAAACCTTTCCTTTAGGTCCAAAATGTTCTGTAAAGGTTTGTTTGCTACATTTTTGCTGGTTAATGGTTAAAATATTTACATTTTAGTATTTAAACTAAATTATGGGTGGCATGGTGGTGCAGTCGGTAGCACAATCACCTCACAGCAAGAAGGTCACTGGTTCGAGCCTTGGCTGGGTCAGTTGGCATTTCCATGTGGAGTTTGCATGTTCTCCCTGTGTTTGCGTGGGTTTCCTCCAGGTCTTTTGGTATCCCCCACAGTCCAAAGACATGCGGTACAGGTGAATTGAATAAACTAAATTGTCCGTTGTGCATGTTTGTGAATAAGTGTACATGGATGTTTCTCAGTGATGGGTTGCAGCTGGAAGGGTAAGCTGCCTAAAACATATGCTGTATAAGTTGGCAGTTCATTCCACTGTGGTAATCCCAGATTAATAAAGGGATTCAGCTGAAAAGAAAATGAATGAATGAACTAGAAATCAGTTTCCGTTTGAACATTACCCTTTTATTTAATTTTTTTTTTACAGCTAAATTAATAAATCCTCAGTACAAAAATTTGACCAATGCATATGTGCTGTGCTGTGGATAAAATTTAATTGCAACAACAATCAAGGGCAAACAACCTACATTTTTAGTTATTATAGAAACGTAGGTTGTTTGCTCTTTATTTTCTAAATAATAGTAAAATATGATGTTTGTTCTTTAAAACTAGCCAAAATTAAAATCCTGTAGTATACTTTATTTTAAATAATTGAAAGTAACTGTGTAATTTTTATAGTATTAAAACGTTTATTTTAAATTGTGTTGCTTACCAGGAAAAAAAGAGTTTATTTACCCAAAATTTAAATAAATTGTCCTGTCGTCATTCATGGACTTGCTCAACATGTGATGCTTTATGTTTGTTTATTTTTTAAGTTGTGCATGGACACAAATAAAGGTTTGGTATTATTTATTTATTATTATTACTAGTAGTAGTAGTAGTAGTAGTAGTAGTAGTAGTAGTAGTAGTAGTGTGTGTGTGTGCGTGCGTGTGTGTGTGTGTGTGTGTGTGTGTGTGTGTGTGTGTGTGTGTGTGTGTGTGTACCCCAATGACTCTTTAAAAAATGCATTTGCCCAAATAAAATCAGAAATAGCTCTTTGCTGTAAAACAGTTTCCTGCCCCTGCTTTATAATATGATTCTATTAATGTCAGATAATTTATAAGCTAACATAAACAAATATCTATTTTTGTTGTTGTTTTGTAGCTTGCCTTTTTGTAATAGGCCGATGATAATACAACAAAACATTTTCAACATGTTCAAATACTGTATCTGAAAAACATGTTTTTATTTTTTCATCAAGCGAAAAGAGAATATACAATCAGTACATTAGAAAATGAAACAAATATAAAAAGACAAACAGAAGGGGTACATACTGTATATATCACACATTAAAGAAAATGATTTTAGAATTTACAAATTTCAGTTGTTTATAAAGCCTTTTTGTAAAAGAGTTATAAATAGTTTCAAAATAATACTGCATTTCAGTAAGCAAATTTTTTTTTAAAAGACATTTATGTTTGTAAAATTATGTAAATAAAATAAAATTAAGGAAATATATTTTCTTTTTATTCTGTATTGTAATTGTCAAAACCAAACAAAACATTTTCCCATAGTAAGGAAAAGTCTTTATCAACATTCTCATTTACAAAAAGGGAAGATTATTCATCAGTAAATACTCTCTTAGTAGGCTAGTTCAATTTGGCAATGCAGTTATTCCAATTTGCTTTAGAAAGATCTGAAAAATATGTTGTTGTTTTTTAAACAGTAAATGGTGAGTAATTATTACAGTATAATCATTGTAAACTGTAGAAGGAATGTAGAGGAAGCCAGGGGGGTAAAAAAGAATTTTTTTTTTTAAAAAAGTTAAAGCGTCAACTTGTCCAGCATGTGTTCTACGTAGAGGATGCCCTTCCAGCTGCAATCCATCACTGGGAAACACCCATACACTACGGACAATTTTAGCTTACCCAATTCACCTATACCACATGTTTTTGACTGCGGGGGAAACCGGAGCACCCGGAGGAAGCCCACGCCAACATGGGGAGAACATGCAAACTCCTCACAGAAATGCCAACTGACCCAGCCAAGGCTCGAACCAGCGACCTTCTTGCTGTGAGGCGATTGTGCTTACTCTCTGCACCACCGTGCTGCCGGCACAATATTCATAAAATAATAACAAAACACAATAAGTTCAACAAGAAATACATAAAAAGTAAAGCTTAAAATAAAAATAAAATGTTAAGAGTGTAATTAATTCAAAATCAAGTGCTGATGTTACAGGGGAATCTTAAATAGGGCATGACAAGATAATGTTTTTCTACTGTTTCCTAAACTAGAAAGTGTTTTCTGAAAAATATGTTAAGTTGATTTTTTTTTTTTTTTTTATTGAAAATACAAAATCCAAATACAACAAAATGGGATTCAACTTTACAACTTGTGTGTCATATATGGAAGGCTCAACACAAAATAATATACAAAGATACAAATGTAGTATACAAAAAACATTCAAGTTAAATAAATCCAAGAGTGAAAGGAAAACGCAAAAATTAAATAAATAAATAAATAAATAAAAATTAAGTACAACATATATATCATCTATGGCAAGTTATATACTACAAATAAATTGAACATTTTTAAGGCAATTTTTGTTTTCATTTTAACCAGGGCATCTGAAAATATTTTAAGTTCTTTTTTAAATACAATAAGTAATGGAGGTGTTTTGAAATATCTACATTTATGAATAAAATATTTGGCTAACACAATTATCATATTTATCAAATCGTGTAAAGCAGAGCAATCTTTAGTAATTCCATATAGTACATCTTGTAATGTAAAAGTCAAACCTTCAGCATCCACGTTTTTTATTATCAACCAGTCTTGTACTTTTTTCCAAAATGATTGAACGGCGTTGCAAGAGAAAAATATGTGTTCTGTGTCTTCACTAAAGTGTTTACATAAATGGCATGGTGAGTTTTCTAAGTTGAATTTTAGGTGTAAGAATCTATTAGAAGGGTATATATCATTTAATATTTTAAATTGTACTTCTTTTTGTTGATGTTTTTAAGCTCTGGGAAGCGTCATGTATTGATTACGTCACTTCCGTTTCTTGGACGGTTGCTAAGCGACATGATGTCTGCGTCGTTCCACTGAAAACATTCAGCGCTGCATCTTCAACTTTACAAAAAAAATACGTTTTTGTTTATGGAGTAAAGCTGCATGAAGCGTTGGGTTCAATAATGCCGCCAATGACGATTAAAGACGGCGAATACACGGCCACCGTGTACAAAATGGTGAGTTCTTAGCTGCACAAGCTAACAGGCTAACCTTAATTTAGTTAACGTTTCATCTTCTCTCATCTGCTGTTTGATTTCATCCGCGTTTTAAAATAAGCGACAGGCATTTTATGGAATTTCTGGCTTTTATTAATTTATACCTATGTCTTTGTAAGATTAAAGAAGGGCGATATGGAGACGCAATTCATATCCTGAGCAAAGAACATCAGAAACACACTAAAGTAAGTTAGACTGCACCAATTCTTTATCTGTTAACATCCAAATACGATCTAACTGTAACCATACTAACTCTTAATAACATCAATAGCAATATATTATTACTGCATATATTATTTAACGTTATTGTTATTATACTGGGATTTATATACAGCTAACGTTATGGTAAAATAATTATGAGGCCACTTGAACATCCACAGTTTCTATGGACTTGTTTTATTTTATAAAGGTCTTTCTAGATAACATTTTTTTGTCTAGTAATCAGTCATCATATAATTATTTAATCATATAATCAAAATGATGTATTTTGTCTTTAAAAAATGACAGCTGGAGTCAAATGTTTTCGTTTATTGTGACTGAAGATATTGGTTATTCTACCAACTATTGATTTTGTTTCCCTTAAAAGTTGTTAAAACTTTGCTATTGTGTTATCTTAAACTGATTAAAAACATTAAAACCAAATCACATTAATAACATTCCTATTTTCAATTTATAAGAACTGTCATTAGCAGTTTACAGAATAAAACATGCATGAATAAACAAAATACAATTTACTGAAAAACATAACTATAAATCATAATTCCAGAGAAACTGGGATATTATATACACCTTTATGATTTATTATTTCTCTGTTTATATCCAGTCCAGGGCTGCTTTGTCTCTCCTTGGCTACTGTTACTATCACATGCAAGACTTCACTAATGCAGCTGAGTGTTATGAGCAGTTAACACAGCTTCACCCTGAGGTGGAGGACTACAAACTTTACTACGCCCAGTCTCTATATGGAGCATGTGCCTTTCCAGAGGCCATGAAGTCTACTTTTCTCTTGGACAACACAACAAGTCATACCAAGGTGCACAAACATCAAATTATCTTTTGTCATCATATTTGTGAGTGAATTACATTTTTACCAGCCTTAAAACTGAGTTCTGCATTGCAGCTGTCCCATGAAATCAATAAAAATTAAATAAAATAAAAAAAAAGCATCTTGGATTGTTGTAATTAATTTGTACCCTTATACATTTTGTAAAAAGAACCACATGTTCCTAAAGTCACATAAAAGCTTATCCATAATATTTAAGAATATATTTTGTTTTATATCTTTGTTTTTACTTGCATCGGTTAAAAGTTAAAATACCAGTATTGCAAATTATATAAGTTCTTGCAGCATTACCATAATTTGTTTCAATTTATCCTTCATCACTTTGTGTATACAATCCTATTTGTCATATCAGATTCAATTCAAGTTTACTTGTATAGATAAAATATTAGTATTGTATTAGATAATGTATTGGATTTATTTTGTTATTTTTAATATATATATATATATATATATATATTAAAAAAAAAAAAAATATATATATATATATATATATATATATA